AATAATGATATATTATATGTCGTATAAGATCTAATGAACACCCACATTCACACCCTTGTTCAACTAATAAATGTAATTGATTTCGTGGTATTTTAGTTTGTATTTAATTATGACGTAATGAACGTAAATTTGGTAATAATTCATTGTTTATATTTTTATCGATGATTAATAATTCTTGATTAGTTTCTATTAGAAATTTATGTTGTTTAACAAGACTATTATATGTTAAACGAGATGATATTTGTATTGGTTTAGAAAATGATTGTATATTTTCATCTATTTTTAAAAGAGCATGATCAACTTTTCGTTGAACTTTTTCTTTTACTATTTTAACAGTTTTTATTTGATCACTTAATATATTTGTTTGAATAACTTGACGTCGACGCATATTTTGATTAAGTGCTAATTCAAATTGTATATTAGTTAATTGTTTACGATCAAGTATATTAATTAAAAATTGTTCTTGAATGACAGTTTTATATTCACTTGATTAATTTTTAAGTATATCTTTATTAAAATACTAAATTAAAATCAACGATATACATTTTTTTCTTCAATTTATTTAATAGAAAATTATTTACATCTTGTAGAAAAAAATCTTTAGCTGATTGAATTATTTGTTCAATAGTAAGAAAACCATGACGTAGAATATGTTAATCAATAATATTATATTTTTCATTTTCAATATTTGTTTGATATTAATTAAGAATTTTTCTTGTATGAATTTCATCAATATAACCTTCTTTTTTAATTAATTTAATCATCATGTCGATAAGAAATATAGCTTGAGCTTCAGGTGAAGTTATATTAGCAAGAGATTGTGAAATAATTTTTGAATCAGGTAATTCATTGACCATATCTCTGAATAGAATAATTTCTTCATTGTAATATTAATTGAAAAAGTTGTTAGCGCAATCCTTTAGAGATTAAATCGAGAAACATGATGTAATTTTCTCTTGCTAATCAAAGCAAGTTCATATATTATAATGAGACATTCGAAGTCTTTTTCTCGATGGTAGTAGCTAGCAAGACTCTAAAAACACATTTGTATAACGAAAAGGATTCTCTATCAAAATTATGAAGTACAACGAGTTCAGTAAAAATATTTGGATAAAGGTCTGTGGAAAATCAAGACCTATCAAAACCAACTTTCTGGTTTTCATTCAAAGTTTTTAACAAAAAATTTAATCACTATATACATCAACACCCCTTTCAGACCGCGTTTTATAAAATAAAAGAAAGTCAACTCACAATCGACATGGTATTGGATATGATTCAAGATATCTATTCAGATCATCAATTGTTAATAGTGCTTGTTGTTTACGTATGTTTAATAATAATTTAATAACTATCAATTGTTTTTCAATTAATAATTGA